GACGAGAGTCTAAATTGGAGCATTCCCAGCAGAGAGGAAATAAACAACCCATTCACAAGATTAAAATATAACTGAAAAGGAAAAGGACATATTAGACCCCTCCCTCAATGCTGTCTTTTCCACCAATTGTTCAGGTGTTTGTAGATATCCTCAAAATAACCTCAGTTGTGGAAACATGCAGTTAGCCACATTCCTTCGGTTTCCTGCAACTATTTCAGAATATTTAGTGATACGATTTCCCATTTAGACAAGCTGCTGTAGGTGAAGAGGAAATGGCCATTCTGGGTTTGCTGGTATAGAGGAAAGTAATAAACACCATAAAGCATGCTGGAATGGAAAAGTACATCCCAAATTTCAAAGTTCAAAAGTTTTTTCAATTTTATTGAGACATGTAGGAAAAAGTTTCCAACAGCCATGTTGCCTGTCCAAGATGAATGAGAGGGAAAGGTGCAAACAGATCAACAACCAAGATACGTGCCAAAGGCATGGTGTTTCTTAGATTCTGTAGATAAAATCCTTGTACTCTAAATTGTGCTGTATCTTTTGCTACAAATATTGGAGCACTACCACTACTTTTATTTCATAGTAATATTGCTTGAAGAAAATAAAAATACAGCTTGCCTAAGTAGGTGGTTTGTTAAATTAATTTACCGCCCCTTATTATGAAAATATAAATGATCCAAGCAAATCATGGCAGATTCAGTTGGTTCAAAGATCCCTTTTTTGTTTAATCATTTCAAACCAAGGTCCCATCAGTTATATGTGAAATTAAGTTTGCTTTTTTAAAAAAACCACCTTGTAAAATAATATGCACTTTTTAAATATTCCATTGCATTTTCTCCTGTTATGCCCATTCCTTGAATTACAGAATTTCTTATGTAGAATTTTGTTGCCATCCCTTTTAAGTTTGCGTGAGCTGCTCCATTCCTACCTCTGTGTCATTTATGAATAAATAAAAAGCACTGATCCCAATACTGCACAATTTGCAGACTCCGTTACAGAACAGACTTTTTGTGAAGAGTTATAATTAACCTCTGGTATCATCTAAAAATGAAAGTAAACAAAATCATCACCATATTTTCATTGGGAATAACAATTTTAAATATTAATAACAATTCAACACCATGGGTAAATCCAAGTTGTCACAATTATAATTGGAGTTGGAGAGTAAGTAAAGCTTACATTTTTGTTGGTGGGTAAAATTTCAAAAGCTCTGAAGGCAAGATAGACAGCCATATGTGTGGGATGCTTTACTTTGGATTTCTGCATTGTATAGGAGGTTGGACTTGATGGCTGCCTTAAATGACAACTTCCAGCTCTGCGATTCTGTGAATACCAAACTAAGTGCTTGGGAAAGTTGATAATCTAATGCCCAAATAATTCGGGAAAGAATTATATTTCTCACCATATTTCTCTTTCTCTTTTCAAAGCATATCAATAATTATTTCTATGTTTCCCAGTCTTCCTGTCTCAGACTTCATCCCATGTTTTAGTTAGGATGCCTACATATTTGTCAATTTCTCTGTTCATTCCCATTTTCTTTTCCATTTCCTCTTCCCTTTATTTTAGTTATGAAAGGCTTGGGAGATAGGTGGGTATCAACTGTTTGTACAAGGAGGAAATAAAGGCTTAGGATAAACCCTGCCAAATAACTAAGCCAGGGGTGTCAAACTCAATTTCATTAAGGGCCGCATCAGCATTGCGGTTGCCCTCGGGGGGCAGGGGTGTGTGGCCAGGGTGGGTGCGCCCTACTGGGTGGGTGTGGATGGAGTGGGTGTGGCCTACTGGGTAGGCATGGCCAGCTCTACATCGTTCGCATCAAGGGTGCCTGTGGGGGCCTGGGCAGGAGTGGGACAGATCTGAGGGTCTCTGGCAGAAGGGGGTGGGACCGGGGGAAGCACCAAGGCATGGTCCATTTCTTCATTCCTCACAAAGGGTGACACCTCCCCAGCATGCACCCAGGGGGCGGGGCCGACGCAGCAGGGGCTGGTTCCTCACTGTTTCCAGACAGCCTTGTGGAGCTAAGACTGAATGCGTTTCAGCATAGATGGCCACCACAAAATTGTACATTGGCTCCCGGCCGGCCTGGGCCAGGGCCAAGGCAGCGGGGGCCGTTCCCTCACTGTTTCCAGGATGGCTTCGCGGGCCACATGAAACCACTTCGCGGGCCGCATCCGGGCCTTGTGTTTGACATTTCTGAACTAGGCAGTGAAACATCCCAAGCTTGCCACCTAGGTGAGGACCACCTTTGCTATTAACTGAGTTACACATTCTTCAAGATATTAGTTTTTGTGAATCAAAGGGATAAGTGGCAGGTAAATAAATTTAGAATAGAATTAAAGGAAAGGGTCTAGGACAGGGGTGTCAAACTGGCGGCCTGCGGGCCGGATGCGTCACGTGCAGGCCACGCCCACCTCAGCTCCACAAAGGCAAAAAATGTCGCAATACGTCATGATACGACACATGACATGATTGAGTTTGACACCCGTGGTCTAGGATGCCCATTCTCTTGGTTGTTCTGTCGCTAGGTGAATACAGGAGTGGGGATGAGTCAAAAAAATTCAGAAAAAGTGATGAAAATATGGGAATGGTTTGTTTGTTTCAAATACACATTTTAAGTATCATTTTATCATATATATGCATGAAAAAGAATGAATATAAATGCAAACAAAGTGTGGTGGATTAGCTTGCTTTATGAAAAAAGTTTGAGAATATGCATGAAGAATAGTGAGAGATTCTGAATTTGAAACAGATAATTGCTTTGTGATGTCAGAAATATATTTTGGGGGGAAATAAAGGAAAAAAATTGGAGGCAGAATGATCACAAGAAAAGAAAGTATGAGTTATGTATGAAAAGTATCAAAATGAAATGGAAGTGAACATAATAAATGGAAACTAGATATATTAGAGAGGATGTGAAAGTTATTTTGAAAAGAGTAAAAATAATTATGTTACAATGTCCCCCTGAAATGGGTAGACTGAGTAAAAAAACAGTCTGATCAAATGAAGAAGCAAAGGAGCATGTGGATGAGAAACATGCATGTAAGAGAATGATGCAAAAGTTCTAGCATGTAAATTGTTGATACTAGAATTGACTGTAATTATGAGAGCAGAATAAAGACGTAATGTATATTGGTCTATAATATTCTGGGCACACAGTATGTGCCAGAAGGAAAAAATAGCTGCAAACAATGTAATTGAAGAGGGTACTGGAGTGGGAGGGGGAGGGAGGGGGGAGGGAGGGAGAATATAGAATGATTTTGGTGGAAATAAAACTTGTTTTGGAATTGGATAAATAACTCTAAACAAAAAGATAAAACATCTAGCAAACTGTATGGAAATATAAATATCAGTGTGCAAAGATGATGAACAGGAGTCATAAAAGTTGTAAGAATGTGGGAAAATAGTAAGGCTGCAGATGTAAAAGGTGTAAGAAGAGAAATATAACAGTTGTTTATGAAGAAGCTGTGGAACTTGTTTAATGTGTGTGTTAAGATTACATCTGTGTCTGGGAATTGGAAGAATACTGGTATTGTTCCCCTACCAAAAGAAAAATATGGTAACAGTAAATGCCAAAACTTGACCAGAAGGCTGTGAGAGGTGACAATAAGCCCAATTTGGCATGTGCAGTGCACCTTTTCTTGGATTTTTCAGAATTT